ATATTATATATATATATATATATATATATATATATGTTTTGCAATGCATTTTTCATATAAAATAGTGACATATTGGTGGTACACGGCATCAACAAATAGACATCACAAGGCATTGCAAAAAATAAGAAACAGCTTCGTTGAGCTATAGGAGGAGATTTGTTTTTCTCTTAGCTATTATTAAGATGTCATCTTTTCAATTATGCTCCACCAGATTCACTCCAACCTCATTATGTTTTTCGTGGTTCTATATCGAGTGATAATTAAAACACTCAAAACCCATTTTTGTACGGTAATGTTCGTTGGCCTCCTCTGTCAGAGCGACAGTTTTGATGTTCAGGGCCCTTGTGGGCAAATGACAATATCATTTGTAGCTCTTTTCACGACACAGACACAGGTTGGTTCTTTAAAACGGGCGTTTATTTCTTGGGAGTTTTCATCCTGTAGCCTCCCCTCTTCCGTTACGCCGTGAAAACTACAACACCGGAATGACACGTATACATAGCCAAACATATTAGCATATTGTGCTACACATATGAATGAAAATAAGAAAATTAAAACATAAAACAAATACCTCGTTGGCCGCTTGTCGTGAAAGGAGATTAATCTAGTTCCTTTTCTGTATAATTTTGTCACAGACTTCTTGTTACATTAAAACTTTGTCACAGACTTCAGCAGAGCTTCAAACAAAGACGTCAACCCACGTTGAGTTGTACAGTGTAACAACAAAACACGCAGTACCACATGAACAAACATTAGTTCCTAGGCACAAGAAATATATACGCATATCGATTTAACATGTAAAACAAACTGTATTAAATCATGCCATATTTAACGATTATAAAATAACATGAAATAAAGTATTTATTTATCTAATTGAACTATGACATTAATTGTGTTATTCTTTTTAATAAAGGCAACTTCGTTACGTCATTTACATAATTCATCCCTATGCTTTGGCCCTTATTACCTGTGAGTGACTGATGGTCCCCGAGCACTGAGCCTGTACCTGTACATTTTTGTGTTTTATTAACTGACACGATATTTTCCAGTCATATTTAACGATTAAAAGGGGGTTGCGGTAAAAGTGCATGCTTTGTCAACATTCCCTGTAAACATAAGGTTAAATTGTTGTATAGAAATGAAATAAACCAAACCAATTGTGATCAAATATAACATCTTTTCCTGCTTTTAATTCTTATTTTTGGTGAAACTTTGGTGAATGTTGTCATATTTCTCAAATGACACTATTTTGCCTGCCTAATTCCTATTCTCCGTTTTATTTCCCATGATAATATTTTCTCTCTGTTTTCCAATAAAGCTTAGTAATTTCAAGGCATACTCACTATATGTCTGGGGTAACCAATAACAGACTTTTCTTTTAAAATCTCATTTTAAACTCAAAGGTCAACAACCATAAATCTCGAAAAACACCTGAGGTGTACAAACTTAATCAGAGTAAAAGATAAATGCATAAGAAGCAAGAGTTTGCAACACTGTTTTTTCCTACTTTCAAGTCTCACTACAACCCTTGGTGGGTTTTGAAAAAATATTTCATCACCGTAATGTCCAGTGGACCATCAAAAAACGTAATAGTTGTATGATATGTGTACAATCCTAAAGTCCACCTCAACCAAGGCTACTAGAGGTGCGGCTAGGGGAGACTGCACCATCCCATTTAGGAAAAGTTCATTCAGCCAGGCTGTCTTTTCATTCCATGCATCCCATCAATGGAACTCAATACCACAACCAATAAGAGAATCCTCATCCTACTACACATTCAAGCACAGTATTATGGCTAATTAATAATCAACAGTGTCAGCACTGATGTGTGGGTGTAGGTGTTAGTATGAGTGCGTATTGTGAATGTTTTATTTATTATCATGACTTGCTCTTATCTGTATTCAGTTATGTCATCTATTGTAAATATGTACAATGGTATAACGATGTTGTGGTATTTTCATTATTACTTTTAGGATGTCTATCACCATCTGGTAAAGGGACTATCGGTGAAAACTAATTTGAGTACTTTTACATGTTTTTAATATGTTGATTAATGAACACTTTCCCTTGTTTTAAATAAATCAATTCAATTCAACAATGAAAATCAAAATATTCGCTTTGTGGATTTTCCAACAGTTATTTCTACAGTTATTTAATGTTTTCATTAATATATGTTGTATGTTTGTCTTTGTGTGTGTGAGGGACATTAAGTGAAAATTGTTACCATAATACCGTGATGCTAGACTCCCAGACAACAACTGTCTTTTAAAGTTAAAGATATTGTGTACAGATCCAGCAAAGTCTGAGATTTCAAAATATAAAATAATAAGAAAACCTTGATTTCATGAGTGAACCGGCAGAATATGTTTGATTTTAATAATAATAATATTAATAATAATAATAATAATAATGCATTTGATTTCTAAGCACTTTTTCAGGTGCTCAAAGACACTTTACAGTGGTGATAAAAAGGAAATAAAATAAAAATATAAAAAGTTGAATTAAAATATTAGAACAGCAACACAACATTATTCACACATAATAATTTCTGACCTTGATGTGACTCCTGAAATAATCAGTTCACACAGTCGGTTACAATTAATTGTGGATGGAGCAGCTCCAGACTTTGACTGACACTGTCGTCACACTAACTCTTATCTGTTGTCAAACTTTGGGATAAAGCTTCCCATGACGTGAATACACATAAGTGATACTTGACAGTTTATGGTGCATTAAAAGGCCTTTTCCTGACTGTGTAACCAAACAAAGAAGTTGCCATTTGCATCAGCAAAGAGTCATAATATCACAGCTCTGCAAACAAGTGACTTATTTGGTCAGCTCTGTTCGTATGGCCTCTCCCTTATCAGACGGTTCTGTGGCGAATACCTGTGGGAGAGAGATTTATGGGGTGGCATTGAGGCATCTGATGCTTAAGAATGAAACCCAAAGTAAATAATCAAGTATAGCGCTGGCGGAGGAAACATTATAAAATATTCTAAAGGATTATGGTTATAAACTAAAAAGAGGATCCAGAACTCTAACAGTGGGCAATACCTTTGGTTATCTTTTAGCCACGGAGTTTCCCCCCTACTTTCACTCTTAGCCAATAAATCCCTCACTGACCTGTCCAGACTCCCTATAAGAGGCTGAGCAGACATCCAGAGACACAGAAGAACCTCTCCTCTGAACTGAGAAGCATCTTGCATCATCTGAAAATGAGAGTGCTCAGTGTTATCCTTGTTTTGGTGCTGTGTGGGTGCAGTGGAGCTCTGGGTGTGAAGGTTAAAGTGAGTACTTGTTCTTGGAAATACTTTGACCTTCGTCATCTTATCACTCATTCTGCTTCTATTTTTCAGTATTTTCTGAATGCATCTGAATGGTAGTTATTGACACCAATGCATCTAAATGTCTCTTTCTCATCCCCTTTCTTTTGGAAGTTATGCATGATTTATTTTGCGCCTCACAGTTTTTCTTGTCCTCCCCTAGGTTGGAGACAGGGTCTTCCCCTTGGAGGCAGTGAAGCAGCTGAAGGAACTGATGGATTTAGATGACAACGTTAGCCCTCGCGTCTCTGAGACGAGCGTGGTAGCTGCTTGTGCTAATCCTGTCCTGCCTCAAGTCTTTCGGCCAGTTTGCCAAGGGAAGGGGACAGGCATCATTTTCTCTAAACTAGGTAAGACTTTGCAAAAAATAATATAATTGTTAAAAAACTATTCTTAATTGAACTAGACAAAAAGGCATTTTGGGCGCCTAATTTCAGTGGTGAATTAATACACATTCAGTGCAAATATTAATATTGAAGAAACCAGCACATCGAATTAGCCATGTCCATTACAGTGAAGCAACATATCGATTCACTCATAAATGTGTTTTGAATAGTTTTTGCACACAAATGGAGCTGTATGGCAGAGAGGAACAAGCTCTTTTGTGTTTTGTCTTTCAAAGAGATATGCTTAACACAACCAAACACTTCCCTGATGAAGGAGCTGTGTCAGTTAGCTGGTTAGCCAATAGCGTAGCACTGAAAACTTAGCCTGGCTGCCCAGTTTGTAAATCAATGAGTTACATCTCATTTGTTTTTTACTGTACAACAATTCATTCAGACATGAAAGTGAGACATACTTTCAGCAAGAAAACAACAATTTTGACTATTCCTGATAAAAGGACCTGCTTTACCACCCACAGAATTGCTCAGTGAGAACAATTTTAACATTTGGATTTTGGTACATTTCATTTCATTTCATTTTTATTTGTCCCGCTCATGGTACGCAAAACCAAATGTAGAATAATTGCCACAAAACATGACTCTACCATTGAGCGAAAAGGAGCAGGGAGAAGAATAAAATCTTATGTTACATTCATACAGGAAACAATCTCACAGGCTCTTAGAGACGCTGTTTTATCACTCAGAAATGTCCTTGCTCCTGACTTGAATTAAACCTCCCTGGGTGTATTGAGACGGATACAAAAACGGATCTCGTTTTTCAAAGTTACAGCATTACATGAAAGTGAAAACCTGGTACTTGGGTGGGGGAAAAAAACCTTCACTTTTTCATTTCCAGTCAGACTAATATTTATGTTTTTATTTCTGTTTCTTGCACTTTCCAGCCTCTATCATGGCGTCTTCAGATCCTTGTGAGATATGTGTCAACCCTTCCTGCTATGGGTGTCTGAACTGAGGCTGCCATCTGCTAGAAACATACACACGTCTGACTGAGAGCCTTTAGGGCCGTCATCCTACATCCTTCTTTAACATTCATATGGCAACCATTGACTTCGGCAATACACATCCTGTCACCTAACCAATCGCAATGAGTCTCATGGCTCACTGGTCGACATACACATTTTTAATTGATATATAGGCTTATCAAAAAATGTAAAACTGGGTTTTGACCATTTTTACAAGTTTTGGTAGATGCTAAATTAAAATGGCAAAGCAGATGTTTTGCATTATTTTAATATTACTTTGTTGTCTTCTTATTGAACTTTTTATTTATTGAGTGTGTGCAGCTTCTTGATAATAAAAATATGTATTCTTTGCATCCTTAAAAGCAGTTTTTACTTGATGTTTCAAGAATAAGGTAATGCTCACACACACACACACACACACACACACACACACACACACACACACACACACGTCTCACCTTTTTATACAAACACAAAATCACACATACACACACACAATTTGTGAAAAAGTATTTAGGAACTGACATTAATAATAATAATAATAATAATAATAATAATACATTTTATTCTTAGGCGCATTTCATGACACCCAAGGACACCGTACAATTTGTTTAAACAAAGAAAACGCTAATAGGCAGCAGAACATGTTAAAAACACAAACAGGAAATCATGGAGGAGACAATGAAGTGGACACAAATGAAACATATAATGGGGAGCACGACAGTGAGTAGGCAGATTTGAACAGGTGGGTTTTGGATTTGAATATGGTGATTGCGTCTGACTGTCGGATGTGCGGGGGGAGGGAGTTCCAGAGTCTGGGAGCATTGCAGCTAAAAGCCCGAGCACCCATGGTGACGAGGCGTGTGGTGGGGACGGTTAGCAGACCAGCAGAGGAGGAGTGGAGGGAGCGAGAGGGGGTATACTCCTGAAGAACGTCAGCCAGATAAGAGGGTGCCAGGTTATGTAGGGCTTTGTAAGTGAGCAGCAGGTTGATATGCATGATATCAGTGACCTGCTTTCCTATTCCCTGTGCTTCACATTTATCAGATGGAACACATTGTCAATGGATCAGTTAATGCACAGGCCAAAGTGATCAACTTCAACAATCAGTGTGCTTTATGGTGGCTAATTTGGGTTCCCGTGCATTAAAATAATTAGATATGAAGCCGGGACAATGTTCTTACTTACTGAGACAACTACACTAATAATAACAAAAAGCAATCCCAATACAGAAAGTGACAATTTAAAAAACCATGCATACATAAAGAACTTCTTTTTTTTAATGTAACCTTCATTTAGCTAAAATGTTTTACTTTGACAAGGCGGTATCAATTACAAATATCAAAATAAAGAAATAAGAGGATTAGGAAATGAATAGCAAGTAGACAATAGTTACAGACATTAAACAAAATACAATTAAATAACAATAACAAAGAAATAAAATACATTAATCTAGTTCATTTTGTATAAAGCCCATGTTCACATTATTTGTATCGTTTCATCTTATGGATTTACAATGGAATATTGTTAATTAATTTTATTAATCTATTCTTTACACTTGACATCTATGTTATGTGTTTCTGTCCACCCTTGGATATGGCTATTATAAATATATATGAAAAATGACTGAAACAGTGACAGACACACTTCTGGATGGAGACCTGTCGCCTCTTTGGATCTATGTTTCCTCTTTTCAACGTTTGTCGACCTCTGCCGGTTGGTAGGTGACGGTCCCATGATCGGTAACTAAAGATTTCCGACAAGCACTGCTTGGGAGTCGGCCTTAGCTTAGGTAGGGTAAGCTACACAGATGTTGCAACGGTGTTTTTACGTTTATGTACCCATTTCTTTATTTTGCAGTTACTTTCGAATGTTGATTCGCTTATTCAAAGACATGGGTCGCCATGATACTGCAGTCACTTAAAATGGAAATAAAAGTATGAATGTTTGTGGGGCACACTACATTACATCTCTGTTCTGCCTATAATACAAATATCTAACTTAATCAAACAGGAGAGAAGTCAGTGGTATTTTTGGTATAAACAAAATTCTGTATTTTCGATATGAGTCATACGGTTCGTTGGTCTAGGGGTATGATTCTCGCTTAGGGTGCGAGAGGTCCCGGGTTCAAATCCCGGACGAGCCCGCTTGTTTTTAGAAGTTTAATGATTATTAAAATGATCCACTTGTCTGTTCATGTTATAATGCCTCAACAACACGATGAAACTGTTCAACATCAGTATGTTGATGAGTTTAAAACAAATATATTCATTCTTCTTTTCCTTGTTTACGAATGTTACTTGACTTCATTGAGTGACTTAGTTACACTCATGTAATGAATTTAATGTTGCAGGGTATTCTCATTTCTCACACAATTACAACAACAACATTGTGTAACTTCTAATCCACTGCTTCTCAAAGTGTAGTCCGCGGATCACTGGTGGTCCGTGAGCGCCCCCTAGTGGTCCGTGAGTATATTGGTAACATTTCACATTTGAAATAAATAAATACATTTATTTAGTTTTCAGCACTCTCGCGGGAATATCTCCGCAATGGAGCGAGCTTACTTTCGATTGCATAATATAGCCCAGTGCAACACCTTCGTCACACAGGTTGCCACCTTTGTACAATTTTCAGGCGATTTGTAATCTGTTCTAAAAAACGATGCGTTTTTGGATATTTGTGGAGTTAGGTGGTCCGCAAGTCCGCGATTGTTTTTTTATTGGTTAAGTGGTCCTTGGTATGAAAAAGTTGGAGAAACACTGGTCTAAACTCACCAGGTGGACTAACAAGTGTATGAAAAAAAGAAGTGTAAGGACACTGATATGATCAGCCAAACATCGGGAGAATTTCCTTCACAGTTGTTTTGTAGGTTGCCCTGCCTAGTCACTTTTACCTGGCTGGTAACTGTCATATTGCGTCACTTTCTCAATTCTGCTAGACTTTCACCAACCAATTGACACATCCGGGCACAATTTAAATAGGCTACAGCGCGGATGTTCATTCAGGTGTGAGACAAACCTATTTCACAAACTCTGCAACGCCTTTCAACCGCAGGATAAGGAGCCGACTGTTTGAGGTATGTTTAGTGCGCTATCAAGCTGTGTTACATACACATCTCAAACGAAATGCCAGGTACCGATAACACTAGGATTGAACGCTTGGAGATGCAAGAGGCAAGCTATCATAGTTATTGCCAAGACTTTCGTGCATTAATCTTCAGTAATAGTTGTAGCCCCTTTTCGTTTTTAAATATATGTGTAGTCATTTTGAATGTCTCTGTTGTCATTGTTTTATTCTTATAGGTAGTAGCCTACCTTACCTTGTGATTGGTTTGTTCTTGTAGTTTCCCCCCCTGTGTTGTTTGTATTATTAGATGTATTGGCCACACAATTCCTGCATTAATCTTCAAATAATTGTTAAGCCTATTTGTTCTCTTTCTGCTCATTTTGAGTCTCTTTGTAGTCATTTACATCTCTTGCATCCTCATGCTAAGTCTACAGGTAATTGAGTTGGTATTGTAGGTTGTTTCTTATGTTCGACTCATTTTGTAGTGTCTCTTTGTTTTCTTTTTGTTTCCTTTTGAGTCTCAATATTTTTATTTTGTATTTAGGCGCTTTGTTTATCTTTTATGTATTTGTTTAATCAGATAGAGATTTTAGTGTGGTTGTTTTTCAAATGATGTGTGTGTGGTTTAAATTAGCACCTTTACCACCTACAGCTATAAAATCTAATTCAAACCCCTAATCATAACAAAAACAATACAAATAATACTGTGATATGTAACATACATTAAGTGAAGGAGTCATTATTTTTAATCTAAATACTTTTTAGTGCCTTTGGTACGTTTTGCTGTAGTTGTACTTCTGCCCAGTGTGCACATTCCTCTCAATACCCACCAGAGGTCACAATTTACTAAACTATGTTTTCTATACTTGGAGAACTTCAATGCATGCTTGTAGCATATTGATATATCCTCTGCATTTGATTTCATTAAATTGTGTTTTTATTTAAAACAACAGCTTTGTTAAGGTTAGTTTATTTATATAGCACATTGTCAATTGCACAAAGGCAATTCAAATTGCTTAGGCATTAACAATAATTAAAAACAAAAATACAATTCATAAAAGGGATAAAAGAGTGATCGCAGCAGAAAGTGCTGATGATAAGGCCCGATTGGAGCATCTGTGGATAGGCAGCATTACAAAGAAAAGTTTTTAACCTTGATCTTTAAGAACTCATTTTCAAGCAGTTTGTTCCAGGTTTATGGTGCATAGAAGCTTAAAGCTGCCTCATCGAATTTAGTTCTGACCCTTGGGACGACGAGTAAGTAAAAGTACGATCTTGAAGTGTATTCTTTGGAAGCCAGTGCTTCAACTGCAATGTGGTCAATTCTTCTAGTTTTGGTGAGGACTCTGGTGGCAGCATTCTGGATAATTGTAGTTGTCTTGTTGATTATCTTTTAACGTTTTTTCTGTTGGATGCCTCCATGACAATGGAAGCTTCTAACACAGATTCACCAAACAACAAGGCTCTATGAAAAGTTCCTCTTTATATGGAGAGTATCAACTAATTCCACCCTACTGTATAAAGACCCTGACAACCTTCCAAAGAAGCCCTTAGTGAATGAGATTCCCTTGGGAACATGTCATTTAAAGTTATTTAAGGTTATCTTCACCTAATGAGGAATGTTTTTATTTTCACAGCTAGTGTTTGATAAGAAATACCCTCCCTCCTTCAGCTTTTCTAGTTATCCTGTTGGAGATAATCCCAGTATGCACTTAGAGGAGCATGTTGTCAGTCTGTATGATAGGGCTAACAAACCAACAGACGATCACATAAACATCAAAGACTGAGAGTTTCAACGTCACCTTGCGGTGCACGTCTTTGGACTTTTGGAGGACATGCAAGGCCCACACAGGAAGGCCTGGCAGGTCTGGTCCATGGCCACAGCTTTTTTGTGGTAAAGCGATGAGTAAAACCAACTGAAAACATGTGTGTATTGACTGTATTGAAGTCTGTCGGGTTTACAAAGCCCTTAAACTCCACTTTCCTCACCCGCGCTTATTGACTTTGAAGGACCAGCATTGATTGAGTAATGTTGATTTGTGTGTGCCTGTCACAAGCTTTAAGTAATAAACTGTCACTGATTTGTCTCAAATGCATCACTACAACTAAGCTACTGGAAATACCAGTAGATGTGGATATTGACTTCTCAAAATGGTTGCCATCCATAGTAACTGTT